AATTCACACTAATTTTTAAATTAACGGAGCTAAACGCGATTTGCCAAGCGTCAAATTTACTATGCATCACGTCCTCTTAAATGCACTTGGGAGACGTTTTAATATTAATTACAATTTTTAATAAAATTAATACRAGTTAATAATAGCACAGTAATAGGTATTTATAAAATATTAATGTTAATTATTATGAAATATAAATTGTTATATAAACTGTGAATAATCCATTAAAATATATAAACTTATGAAACTATTTTAAAATATTCTGTATTTAATAAATAATTTTAAAACCTACCTACCTTATATATTACATATTAAATTATTTATAAATAATCATTATTACCATCAGTCTTATTATCAGTAGGTAGTACGATTAGACAAACAGGTTCTATAATGTACTTTTATGAATATTTATAGATAGAATGTATAGKGTATATCTATTCTACCCACTAGAATTGTTCTACAAATATTTTTGTCCTGAAAAGTAAAAGCTCGTCAATAATAATTCGGAAAAGCGTTTGGTTATTTTTAGAATCAAAAATATGAAAGTTGTTTATTAAATCGCTGATAGTAAATTAATTTTAAAATTAGTTACCTATTGATATAAAATATTATTAATACATTTTTATAGAAGCATTATTATTTCGTTCAATAAAATAAAATATGTATAGCACCTTAACAATGTTTATGAGCATTTTTTTAAAATAAATATAAAACTGAGGGAGGAAATGTTAAATAAAATATTTCGATGGATTGAATGAATGAATTCAGTTGGTAGCTAAAATCATCATCTTGTTTGCTTTAAAGGGATTTAGTTCATTTATATAAAAAAAAGGTTTKAWTGCTATACACATAAGAATATATTTATTTTTATATAATAAGGTGTCACGGTGAGGTATCATAATTAAGGGTGCATATTTGTTATCCGTTTGACGTATGCGTAAAAATGATAAATAACCGAGARAAATGAAGGAACTGCTGGATTGTAACAATATAATATAACTTTTTTGGATCGCGGTTCGAATAACACGTGGAAATAATGTTTCAGCGAATAATATTATATTATTGTATTTTCGACGAAAAATCATAATAATATTATAGTAGTAGGTATAATACGATCATACGCGCGAAGAGTGTATAATAATAATGCGGACTAGTTAAAGGATAAATATTACGTATTATATTTATTTTCATGTACAGTTTCGATTTACTTAAAAAAAAATTTTTTTTTTAATTTAAAGCTTAAAATATCTTAACGTTCGACGAAAACAATTTACATATAAATACGATACCGGCTCTCTCTCTCTCACCCTCTCTCACCCACTCTCACGCACACACACACACTTACTCTGTTTCTCTTACTCAAGCGCGACCGAGTCGATTATGTTTCATTGGTATTCATTAGGCGTCTCTTATATATTATATGGGGAATCGGAAATGCGAGTATCTCTTCGTTTACGGCGAGGAAAAAAAATAATCTATTTCTCCAGACGACGATGGTCGTATATACCTATATACGTGTTTGTATGCCATCGGATACAAATATACCTCTGCAGTGCAGAGTCTGCACGTCTTAAAAAGTTTGATGGTAGTGGATTTCCGGTGTTCRCGCGATTCGCTCACCCTACAAAGTTGCTGCAACGTATAATATTGTATATATTGTAAAACAGCTACGCTCCTGACGAGTATAGTGCGTAGCATGGACGTAATTAAGGAGAAGAGGGTGAAGGGGATAGACCCCACCCCAAAAAAAAAACACTTTTATTTTACTGCCAACATTTTATATTTGGTAGGTTACTGTATGAGGCTTAGAGATTTTGCTAAAACATTTAATCCTACTCCCACCCCAACCAAATTCCTAATTACACCACTGGTGCGTGATAATAATATAGTATAATAAGTAAGTACGTTTAGGCAGTACTTATAAACACGCTGACGCACATATGAAGCGAATAGCGGCAGCGTGTGAAATTAGATAATTGCGGAAATATTATATTATCCGCAGAATCTTTTGTGTATTGTATGTGTTTTTTTTTTGAACAATTTTTTTCCGTCCGAAAATAACGAACGATTCTTATCCTCTCCCTCTCTCAACCACGTTCGTACGTACCTGCGAACAAGACAAAAATGCAATACCAAAAAACAAAGACCCAAGACCAAAAAGGAAGAAAACAAAAAAACATCTCCGCGTAACGAAAACGTCGCATTAAATATTATTGTTATTGTACACTGTCACAAAACGTTTTCGTTGTCTACACACAAACACGCACACACACACACCCATACACATGCATTGAAAATAGCTATATATACCTAAATAATAGTATATATAATAACATATCTCGTGTATTATATATATTATATAAATATATACTTATGGTCGCAGATGAACAAAAACTCGAGAGAATATCGCACGGCGCGGACACGCGCGTTCAATGACTGTGTACGATTTTTTTTTCAGTGTTT